GCTTGTTAAATACAACTGTATCTGATATGTCTCTTCTCCCAAATAACTCACATGAGTCTTATAAGCCTATAACTCCAACAAACTAAAAAGTAGACTACAGTTATGAGCAAAAATCATATTTTGATGTTTAAGGGGTTACACAAAACAAATCATATAGTTAATTAAACAAACACTTGCACATATACAGAATTTTAAGTAATACAAAAGTAATTATTACTATTCGCCAGAAATTAAAATGAAAGCACCACTAATGAGATTATAAATTACAAGCACAGTTATGGCAACCATTTAGTTTGAAGATAATGTTTTGCACTTTTTATGCAATTAGCAAACTGTGTGTGGCCAAAAGAATTCACTAAAATAATGAATTCATGTGTACATTGGCTGACATTCAGCTTGGGAAGTCTTTGTAAATAGCATTTTGACTATGCAAAAATGAGCTGAGAAGTTTCATAACATCCATATTCACTATGATGTCCTAATGTATAAGCTGTCATTGCATAATGATGAAGTAATGATAAACATTGCAACTGATGTGCCATGGCTCAGTAGTGTAGATTTTAATGTGGATCTCAGTCTTCATTTTAATACACAGTAAAATCATATTGTTCGGATAGCCTATATTATATAACATTATAAGTATTGAAATGTCAGCAGATAATTAGTAACACAAATATTAAGAAACACAACTCCTTCTCTGTCCAAACATATCTCCTCCTATGAACCACCTCGGAGGTTAAGATCATCTGGGGAGGCCCTGCTTTCGGTCCCGCCTCCTTCGCAGGCGCAACTAGTGAGAATGAGAGGCAGGGCCTTCTTAGTGGTGGCCTCTCGGCTGTGGAACTCCCTCCCCAGTGATATTAGAGTAGCCCTCACCCTCTTGGCCTTCAGTAAAGTAAAAACCTGGTTTTCACATCAAGTCTTTGGAGATTAACTATAGTGCAATAACAGCTATGGAATATTTGCAATGATTGTTGGAACAGCCCCAGATTATGATTGTGGATGATGTAAGTTTAATAGTGAATGCAGTGTTTTCACATGTTTGAATGTGCATTAATTTTAAAATTTAACTTAAATGTATTTTAACTGTATGTTGTCCAAAGGGTTGCCTATATGTAAAGCTGCCTTGAGGTCCCTTTCGGGGTACAGAAAGGCGGGATATAAATAGGTAAATAAATAAATAAATAAATAAATAAATAAATAAATAAATAAAATCTGGGAAAGATGTGATGTGTCTGTTCATAATTTGTCCAATATTGCAGATTTGCTTGGCTAAAAATCTGAGTATGTAAAAGTACTGTTTCCATGGACTCATCTAATTATGCATTGTTCTAGAAAAGAAGTTCATCACCAGTGATTCACAGACCCACAAGGAGATGCAATATCTTTGCAGGAGACATGCAGCTGCCTTGGCCAATCAGTTTGATGAGCTATGGCACAAGTCTCAAGTTCAGTCAATGGCTGATTTCCACCCAGAGTAGAAGTGGAACAGCCAGGTTTTGTGTGTCGTTGGGAGTAGAATGAGGACAGCTGGGAAGGAGCCACCACATCTGCACTAGGCCCTTGCCCTTAGGTTAGCTAAGTTGACAAAGTGAAGTTATTAATGCTCCTTTCTACAAGGCCGGTCCCAACAAGAAATCCGTTGTAAGACCTCTTTTGAAAACAAAAGCCTACCTTGGACCCTGTTATTTTAGGCCAGACTTCAACCTACTATTTTTGGGCAAAGAGTGGGAAGTGGCTTCTCAACTCCAAGGAATCCTGGATGAGGCAGGTTAGTCTGGTTTCAGACCTGGTTATGGGATAAAGACAACTTTGGTTGCAGAAAACTGGACAGGCAGAAATTGCTCATCATGGTTTTGCCAGACTTTTCAGTAGTTTTTGATACCACCAACCATGATATCCTTCTGAATCACCTGATATGAGATTTGTTGGCACTGTTCTACAGTGGCTTCTTCGCTGGAGGGGCGCTGGAGGGGAGGGCACTGGGGATTCCTGCTTGACTCCTTGACAAGTGGCCTGTGGAGTTCCTAAATGCTCAGTCTTGACAATGTTATTCTATATCTATATACATGAAACCACTAGGAGAGATTATCCTGTTTCAGGTAGAGTGGGTAGGTATCAATATGCTGATGATATCTAGCCCTATTACTCTTTTCCAGCTAATTCCAAGAAAGCTGTGCTAAACTGTAATGAACAGAATGAGGTTAAATACATTGAACCTTAATGCAGATCTGGTCAATCAAAATACAGATCTGAGAATAGGGATCCAGTCTGAGTTAGGACAAAAATGTTTGCAGTTTGGAGGCACTTGCAGTTTGGAGGCAGTTTCAGTTCTGAGCCTGAAGACCCAGGTTTCAGCAGTGATCATTACTTTTACACAAACTGATTGGACCAAACTGTGCCTGTTTATGGAGAAACTGGATTTGTCTATGTGATGATATCCTATTTGGATTACTGTATTGCCCTCTATGTAAAGCTGTCTTCAAAAAGGTCTTAGAAACTTCAGTTGGTCCAAAGAGCTGCAAACAGGTTGTTAATTGCACCTGGCTACAGGTAAGACACAGCTTGTCTCCATTGTTACAATCTGTTTCCTGGCACAAAACCATTTCTGGATTATAACCAATAAATCTCTACAGCTTTGGTCCAGATTTGAAGGACTATTATCGCCTTGTATGAGCCTATTAGATCTCTAAAGTCAGCTGGCAAGGTCTTGACCATCATCTCTTGGTCTTACCACCTCAGGGCCTTTTGGTGGGATTTTGATCTACTCCTTCTATCAGTAGATCAAACTGATGAGGGACTGGCCTGCTAATAGGATGCAGGGCTATTATACAGTTGTTTTTAGGGTTTGCCTATAGTTTTTTAAAACATTCTAATTTTTGTAATGTTTAACTTATAAATTGCTTTTTCTAAATCTTGTATTTTATACTTTGTCTGTTGTATTATTTTTATTATGCCTTGAGTCCCACTATCAACTTGTTTTGTCCTCCAGTCACCCTACAAACCCTAAACTCTCACTGTACTGAATAGTTAAAATGTTACTTTCATTAAAATGATTTTATAGAGAATTTTGAATATCATTTGCTAGAATTTTTTTTAGGTTTACACATCTTTTTTACAGATTTTCCATAAGCAATCAAGATCAAGAACTGTTAAGCAGAAGCTGTGAACAGTAGGTCTAGGCAGTCATGGAGGCACACACAATGGATATAAGTAAACGTAATGTGACAGCTAGAATAATGTTTGACCACCTCAAAAGAAACAATGTACCTTTGGTGTACAAGAAAACAGATCCATTTATTCAGGTCAAAATTGCTCAAGGATTCAATTTCATTATGCTCAATACTAGGTGATGGAACAAAAACAATTATTACTGGAATTATAGTATATTGTGCTATATTTCATCCAGTAGCTTTTCTTTATCTCCTGTAACTCTTTGTTTTATTTCAGTTACTGTCAAAACAGTATTTTACTGTCAATTGTAAAATATATTGTGTGTAACGAATGATCTACCATATGCTCTATATGCTACAGAAACATCGTATTTTAAAGATATGCATACAACTAGTAAGTATAAATGTAAGACCTCAGTCCTAAACAAATGTAGCTGGAAGCAAGTGCTTTTAAACTCAGTCAGGGCTGAGTAGATATTTACAGGACTGTGCTTTGGAGGAACTACTGTATTGGGAAATCAATATTCCAGTTTGGAATTGTGTCTTTCGGGGGAAGTATCTACTACTTGCCTGCAGGCACTCAGAAAATTCCCCTGAGTACTCATTAAAAAGGAAAAAAGCCAATGGAGTTGTTCATTTGAGACTTTCCTGTTTCCATCTCTTGTTACCTAAGTGAAAGAAGGCCTTTAAAAAAGGTAGGGGGTGATAGGTTTTTTTAATTATTATTCTTTAGATTTTGTAGCTCAAACTATACTCAAATCTCCTCCTTTATTGATCTTGTCTTTAGTGAGATCTCTTCTTTCTTTCATCTTCAAGATTCCAAATCTTGTTGGAGCGTGATCCCATGCTAGCAGTGTTGTACCTCCAAGTCACCCTGTTATTAGCAATTTTGCTCAGGTATTGCAGACTTGAATCTGTGGTTTCCTTGATTGAATCTATCAATCTGTAAAGCAGTTTTCCTCTTTTTTCGACTGCCTTCTTCCTTACCAAGCATCATTGACTTTCTAATGAGTCATGCAAACCTCCATCTAAATAAATGCATCGAAGGAAGAATTCTATGTATAAATAATGCAAATTCTACTGCAATCCAAATGTAAAATTAATAGGCTGGGTTTAAATTTATGATGTTATACCACTGAAAACAGAGGAAGATGATTATTTCTAATCCAAACTTCAACAATTTCAAGAGGTTTTAGGCATGCCAAAATTCAGTTCAACACTCCTAGGTATACCTAGTATTATTCTCGTGCTAGTTAATCCATTAAATTCCTATAGCAAAAATACAATGGCATGCTACTGAAGCTTTGAAATCAAACATGTCCTATCTCATTTTATTTGTTCTGCTCTTTTGGGAAAAAAGTGATGTGCTATTTTTTGAATTTATAATCTACCCATTGTTGTTCTAAAAGTTCTTGTGACCTGGGTTTTTGTTGAAACACTTGACCATTCTTTGTTTGTATGCCCCAAATATCATAAGATGTGGATAAAATACAGGAATTCAATTTTTGCAGTGTTCTAAGTTGCAAAGAATGTTAAAAAAAATCCATACCTCTTCAATAACTCTGATGCATTCTTCTGTGAGACGGTCGCAAGTTTTATTCTTCAGTTTAGTAATTTTTAATCTTGTTTTTCTTCTTTATCTGTGACTTCTTTATGTTATATATATCTGTGCTGTGATTTTTTTAGTGTATGCCAATAAAGGCTGTTGTTATTGTTGTTGTAACCCATTGATGTAAAAACATTTGCAAGGCTTATAAAACTTGGATTACAATGGAACAGAAAACTCTATAAATACGAAATAAATACAAATAAAAATGTAAACACAAGTTAAAACAATTTCACAAATTATTTTTTTAAAAGACATAACGACTCGTGTAAATAAAAGACTTTGCCAACTAACAAAGCAAAATGAGAATCAGCACCATTGGGAAGGAATTCCATACTGAGAGACCACAACCAAGACAGTTCTTTCTCCAACCAGCATCTACCTCACATCTGTGCTATGAGGTGAGCGGCTTCTGTCAAAATACTTGGTGAAGCAAGATTGAAAACCAAACATTCAAATTCCTGAGCTGCATTTCTCCTCCTTCTCTTGGAAAGGGTGCAGTCTTGTGGTTTGTAGGAGAACAGCCCTAGGGTCCATTGCACCAAGTAGGTTTCCCTTTCTGAGGCCAGAGAAGAAGGGTCCACCCTTGTAAGCCTCCCCACAAGTGCGGTGCCCTCCTCAAGCCTTTGCCTCTCCAAAATCATGCTCTGACCACGGAAAAGAGAAAGTGCGGAGAGGAGAAGACTTGCATCCAGAGCCTTCCCATTCCTTCAATGTACTGTGAAACCAAAAGCAAAACTATGTTAGCCTGGAGTAGGAGACAAGAAGCCGGACAGGGGACTGAGGGGTCAAAGGGTTTCTCCCACACCTTTCCAGTATAGTTGGTTGAAGTAAAGGGGCAGAACACAAACAAGATATTTAACTATTGAGAGTATTTTTCTCAATAGTTAAATAACAAAGCAACTAACGTAACATAGTTTCACATTCAAAAACACATGAGACATCCCTCTCCTGAACAAGGACGTTAATCTAAGTATTTGGTGTAATCTTACAAATATTTACTTGGAAGTAGTCACTTCCAAATAACAATGAAACTCCCTTTCAGAGTAAGGCTATTGGGAGCAAGTGGAACATTTCCAACAGAATGTGAATTAAAACATCTGCTGGAGCATCAACAAGCACAAGCTAAAAGGGGATGTTTTGTACTGAGGGCCTTTCTTCAAAAGTATATTCCTTCTTTCAAGTAAGAGGCAGTTTTGCAACCTGGCACATTCAGATTTAATGGACTACAACTCTCAGGGTGCTAGTGATAGATCACACAAGTTGTAGTTCACAATGTCTGAAGAGTGTCAGGTTACAAAAGATTATCTAAGAGTACAGACTGATGAACATAGGACAGAAATGTGACAAATACCGTTCAGATTTACCATAAGTTTACCACATTATAAGTCAAGGGCAAGCTTGGGAGGCAAAACTATGGATTTTTATATGGTCCATGGTCCATGGATAAGTCAAGGGTTATTCTACAGAAAGGGGAAACTACCAATGCTACTTCTGAGGATCAGATGCTCCTGGCCCTGCTGCTATTTCTGCACCCAGGCAGCATTCAAAAAGCCAGAAGCAGTGCCATAAAGAGGGTTGGTGCTTCTTTTATTCTCCCAAAATAGATAAAGATCTCTTCTTTCGCAGCTCTACTCGGGGCCATTCTACACAGCCATATAACCCAGAATATCAAGGCAGAAAATCCCACAACATCTGCTTTGAACTGGGTTATCTTGAGTCCACAATGCCATATATTCCAGTTCAAAACAGATATTGTGTGGGATTTTCTGCCTTGATATCCTGGATTATATGGCTGTGGGGAAGTGCCCTCAGAGAAAGTGATGGTTCCTTTTTGGAAAGAGGTAAGGTGCAGTACCCACATTAACTCATGGATAAGCCAACCCATGTTTTCTGAGTTGATTTTTTTGGCAAAATTTCTAGACATATACCTGAATATATAGGGTTCTAAAAATGAAGCAGCTCTGCTTCAATGGAGAAAGAAAAGTTATTGCATACAGCCTAAAACCTGTAAACTGCTTGCCTTCCCACGCAGAGCCATTGTGATCATATCATTGGAAATTCAAATAACATTTCTTGGGGAAATGTCGTGGGAACAAAGCAATCCATTTCAAATAATGTCTGAAAGAACTTCAGGCTGGTGGCCTGAATTTCTTAATGCCAGAGTCTTCACAATGCAAGGCAATACACTTTCGAAACTGGGTTATGTATATTTTTAAAAAATTCTAATGTGTATGGATACTATATCTTCAACAATAACATTCAAATCCTCATGATGGATCAGCAAATCTTTCTACCATGAAATAATATATTGGGCCATATTTATAGTTTGGTCTGAAAGGTTTTGGTGCACAGCTGTTCATTTATACTTTAGTCAGCTCAACAGCTGATTAATATACCAGAAAAGATACCAAAAGTAGGTCACTAAATGTGGGACAGTGATTTCCTCAATCCTATTTTTCTCTGACTATCTACAGTCACATATTTCTCATTCCAAACTGCAACAAGTTTGTATTTCCTCTAAAAATGGAAAGCATAGGATTTTCATATGCTACCCTTTTGTCAAGTGCACCCAAATTCCCTCCCCTCCCCTCCCTAACATTTGACAAATCCTAACATCTGGTTCTAAGACACCATAACAAAAGTATAAAATGATGATCAACTTTTACATAAAATAATTTGACATAGTAAACATATGCATTTATTTAAACACCTCAAGATCATTTCTAGAGCCAGGGTTTGCGGAAAAAATAAGAACTCTCCAATAATGTATCGATTTCTTAAAAAGATTAATATTGTGTGTCATATTTCTAGAGACCAACATATATTCTTGATATAAACATTGGAACATTGTCAATCATTGCAGCTATAAAATACTCATCAAGTTATAGTTGCCCTTTTTAAAAATATACCAGATTCCCTTGAAAAACTATTTAGTATCTGTATTAAAATATCCATCATGACATTCAATAAACTGATTTTTAACTAAAGGTTTGCTTGAAATAATGCAAAACCGGGATTACAAATAAATCCCTCAACACATATAGAAAAAAAAGATATTTTCATATTTAGAAATGAAGAGCTAGAATTGTCTACAAATGAATTAAAACTCCTTAAATATCATCGTTCAAATTCCCATTAATAAAATTCCCATTATGAGCAAATTGTTTAGGATTTTAAAGTGAACATGAACCTACACTCTTGCCAGTTGGAACTTCACAGTAAAGAACTTTGGAACAGCAAGTAGTAATATAGTACTGAACAATCAAGTATCAGCCTAGCTAACTAAGCAAGTAACAATAATGCATCTACACATTCATCTTGTCTCTAGCATGTTTCTTCACTTCTAAAGCAGCTGTTCCCCCATGTATATATATATTCAATTTTATTTAAAATGGGGTTCCATTTATAGATTGATAAAATATTATATCACATGTATCTATGCCATATATTATATTATTAATACAAAATGTAAAACAATGCCACAGTATATTTTTACAGTCAAAAGAGGTTTCACAAAAATATGCAGTTTATTTGGAGCTGTGTTACAATCAGTGGGTACAGTACAGACAAACAGGCACCTCTGTTTTCAAAGTTTGTTCTGACAAAAAATAAACCTTAAAGAGCTGAGACTAACAGAATACATGGGCGCCTGGACAGCATAATCAGACATCTTTTGCTAAGGCAAGCACAGATACATCAATTTGCAGAAGGGGTGTGCGTGTGAGTTGTATGTGCAAGCACACGTGTGTATAAAAACACACATATGAGAGTGAGTGGATGTGTGTTTGAGAGTGTTTGCGTAAGTACAATTATATTGACATATTATTCACACACACACCCAATGTCCTCTTTATACTTTGGAAAGAAGCCCTGACTCTGGAGCACTTGCCTTAATGAGGTTTTGGATTTCTTTGAATTTGGGATGATCTTTGTCAGCTATCAGTTGCAGCAATATAGCTTCACTAGTGGTAACAATAATCCCAGTGCGAGCAAGACGCTGAAGAAAAATACAGAAAAGAACAACCAGAAGTGAGTTTGCGCTCTCTATAACCATTGGACAGTAAGACTACCATTCTTAACATTTCCAGTGATAATGTACTTTTGTTTACTGCTTTTAGAGGAGAAAAACATCACTTAAGGGTTTGGAAAAAGAACTTCAGTTCTCTTACATTCCTGTTTTATATGGACAAGTCAAGGATCACAAATCACCCACACATAATGGAAACACACAATTGCTGATGTACACGGTGAGATTAAACAGAGGTTGGGAGCAAGAGATCAATTCCCATGTAGCATTTTGCATTCATGGGGATGTTCTGAAAAACATTTCTGATGAGGAAAGAAAGAAAAAAGAACCGTGCCTTTCATTTAAAGATTTCAGTGTAAGCATAATAATCCTCACCCAGCCCCTTGAGGAGAGAGTACAAGTGCGACTGGTGGGCACGAGAGAGAGGGCCTTCTTTGTGGTCATCCTTCTGTCTCGAACTCCTTCCCCATTGAAGTTAGAACAGCCCCCTCCCTCCCCTCCTTCAAAAAACACCTAAAAACCCATCTATGCTCCATAGCTTGCGGAGAGGTTGATGCGTAATGAATCCCTTCCTCCTTCCCCTCCTGTTAAAGGTTTATACATTCGTAGACCAACTTTTACATTTATATTTTATATTTATAGATTTTATACTTAAATAGTACTTATTGCTATTGCACTAATAATAATGATGATGATGATGATGATGATGATGATGATGTTGGGCTTACAAGGGGCCAAGCCCAACAGAACAGTTAAAACATAACACATTAAAAAACATATCAACAAAATAATAACAAAAAGCAATATAACAAAATAAAAATAACAACATTAAGCAGTATATAAAACAAACATAAGGCCTTTATGAGGCTTGATCGTTTATCCTCCCATAGAGTCTATTTTTATACATGTTTTTTAAACTATGATCTATTTGTTATTTTATTGTGCTGTGTTTTTATGTTTGTATATGGCACTGAATATTTGCCTTTGTATTTGGAAGCCGCCCTGAGTCCCATCAAGGAGAGAGGGCAGGTTATAAATAAATAAATAAATAATCCAGGCCAGGCCATTACCAACAGAGTTCCCATTTGAGATCAAATAGCAGATCCAGTAACTTTATCAGGATGCAAAGAAGCCTTCACTCTGTTGTATCAATTTGTCAAAGCTATGGTATTATCAAAATGGTATTGTAATTAGGAATTATTCAAAGTGCTCAATGTCACCTTGATGCTTCTGTTATGAAACCTATGGAAGAATGACACTAGCTAAGCAATTATGAAGAATTTATATTGAAACACTCGAAGTATCTGCCTTTTAGGTGAAATTGCAGCGAAAAAGGAGAAGGCCGAGTAATTCTGCCTTTCTAAAATAACACTGAACAAGCCAGAAAACTCAGACATCAAGGACCAGACAGCACTCTCCTAGAAATAGGATCCTAGCTGCAAATTACCTGTTCCTAGATATAGTTGCCATCTAAAGCTATAGTAAGAACATGACATTTACCAGTTATTGCCATATTCAGCATTTCAAGACACTGTCTAGCATATAACAGAGTAGGTGAGGACAGTGAAGATCAGGGAAACATATTGTGCCGTCTCTCTCTACAACTCAAACATGAGCAAAATGTATTTTTTTTAAATGGTGCATGGAATTTCTGAATTTGAAACAGGCATTCCTTCATAGCTGAATTGTTTATTACACAGAAACAAAATTTTCTTGAAGAATGAAAAGGAAAAAAAAATATCACATTTTGCCTTTTGTAACAGGATATTTAATACTTAATGTACATATATGACTATTCAGAAGATGTTAGTACTTTTCCTAAATCGATAACAAATTTTCAGACGGCTTTATAACAACTCTAAATGCTTTTTCCTCCCACTGATTCTTATCAGAGCCTTTTCAAATGTTAATGCCTAGGTAGAATATTATAGGATTACCGCTCTAGCTCTATAATCCAAATACATATATGTGGAAACAATCTGCACTAAAAAAGTAGCAATTAAGAGTGAATAGAATGAAGTTTTATGGATGATTTAGTAAAAAGAGAGGAGTTACAAGTGTTTTATTTACGTCTATATATAAAATTGGAGGGTTGATCTGCCATAATTCATAAAATAATTCATGGTATCACTATAGAGCACACATCTAACTGAAACCAACAATTCTGCATACTGAAAATCATTCTTAATGGCTACTTAGCTAGTTTGTTCTTCTGCATGGACTTATCAGAAAATGTCTCAATTAAAAGCAACAGATCACAACTACTTCTGGTAAGTTGCTTGGAACTGCTTTGCTGTACTAAAAACAAAATCTCCAAGCTCTATTTTATAAGTGAATCTGAGCCTGCACGTATTTCTTGCTGCATTTTTTGATGGAAGATACTCTAGCCCCTGCTAACCGGGAGCCTAAACTTCTTCTTATGGGAAAAAATCCACAAAATAAGGAGTTATAAATAGAATTGAGGGGGGGGGGGGGCTTGGGTCTGTATACAATTCTGAGCACACATTGTTTCCAAGAAGCATACCTATGCCCAGAAAAGTATAACATCCAGAAAGATCATTTAGGGCAAACAACTGAGCAAAAAGCATCACAAAAAGTCAGAGTAAGTTGCACAAGGAAACAAAAAGTGGGAAATCATAAAACACAGTTTGCAGCTTAATATCTCAGTTATTGAGTAATAATTAAAAGCCAGACTAGCAACAGCAAAACTGGTTAGCTTTTGCAAGAGCATCAGTCAAACAGCTGCTTTGAGAACATTAGCTGCTTCCTTATCCATATTCAACCACCCTCACAGACAAGAAATGCCCCAAATGCTTAGCTTTTAATTCTTTTTCTAATGTGGAACTTCTAAGTTCAGAGAGTCATTGTCTATAAACCAGTAACATTATATGACATAGTTCTTGGTATAGAATGATGCTCACAGAAATCCCCTTCCTTTCAAAGAGTTGCAAATCCTGATTTATCTTTTCAGAAAATGATGAGGATAAGAACTGATGTTCTAGCATGATAGCTTCCGGAACTGTATACTGAATTGGTAACTTTCTGGAAAAATGTATATGCTAACATTTTAACTCATATATATTAAATTCCTCTTTATAAGTAAGCTGCAGAATCATAGAGTTGGAGGAGCCCGCATGAGTCATTTAGTCCAACTTTTTGTCATGGTTATGGAACTAGGTTATGGTTTTGGACAGATGAAGATGTACCATATTGAGCACCGTATCCCCCGACACATCCCAGGGTGCAAACTTAGATCAAACTCGAATCAATACGCAAGCCCCCACCAGTATGCGTTTATGCATAACTAGAGAAGGCTCCATCTCAGATGCAGTCTCAGCCCTCTGGAACTCCCTCCCTGAAGAACTAAGGACTGCTCCATCTTTGCTTAGCTTTAGGAAGGGAGTCAAGACTTTCTTATTTAACAAGGCTTTTAATTGAGCTATGGCAGGAGTTAGGGATTTTACGATCGGGATGGGGATACATGGGGGGAGGTTATGGTTTTAACTGAAATGTGGGATTTTCTTGATTGTTGTTTTATCATGGTTTTATCTATTTTGTTCTCCTAATTGAAGGATTTCAATGTTTTTATTCTGTTTGTAAGCTGCCTTGGGTCGGCATTGCGGAGAAAGGCAGGATAAAAATATCCTAAATAAATAAATATAATCTGTATAAATAAAAAAGTAATGTTAGTTTGTGGGATTAACATAACTCAAAAATCACTGGACAAATTGACACCTAATTTGGACACAATGCACCTATCAGGCCAACAAGTGACCATCACTCATAAAAACACTGGGAAACACAGCGAAAAAGACTTTAAAAGCCAAAAAATAGAAAATACATTGCAACGCATGCTCATAACCACATATATACACATATACACAAATATATACACACACATATACACACACAAAACACATATACTGGGCCACAGCAACGTGTGGCAGGGGACGGCTAGTAATAAATAAATATGAAGTGTAAACATTTGCTATCATTCTCCTCTAAAAGTTCACTTGAAGATAGCATCCCTTCTGCATGATCTAATATTTTAAATACAAAAGAAGCAAAAAAGCACCACCATGGAATTTGGACTAGTAAACATGGGCTGTCTGCAAACTAGGTCTGAGTACTGGACACAAATTAATTTTAATAAGGAGCCCAGCATTTACATCAAAGGCCAATTTGCTAGCATACTTCTGCTAGTAAAACAGACATTTATTTTCTTCTCTCCCTCTGGCAACCCTTCAAACTGCTTCAAAATGTAGTCAAAAAGGTTTCTAGAAAAGGAGGGGGAATCATCACTCCTAGTTCCAGTGGAGAAACTGCTTCTGTTAGGATGACAATACTGCACCCTCGCCATAGAATGAAAACTCTTTGCAGTACTGGATTTTCCATTTTGTCCTTTGAAATTCTGAACTGCTTATAAATAGCATGTAATGCTGTCATAATTAAATTGAGTTTCAACTGGTGACTCTGAGAGAAAAATCAGCAAAATCTCAGCTAATGTTCTTTCATATAAATGGAAAGGATGGCAAAGGGAAAAGGCCCTTAAACGTGCATATATTAAGGAAGATGGCAAATCATTCTTCTATCTGGAATTTCAAGAGCACTGTTGTTGGTATTAACTAGCCCATCTGTGGAAACTTATTAATAAAAATACATGGAAACTGGAGTATATTGTTTTTAATATTTGTGCACCATCATTCCTACTTTCTAATCAGACAAATAATAACCTCCCAGAGTTGATAACGAGACAAGGAGTTTAATTTGCTCACTTTTGTTGCTGATTAGCATTTAAGTTTATATTGAACTGCTAACCTGGGAACAGTAGGGAGAGGGAATACACCAAGGTTGTTTAAAATAAATAAAACAGCCAACTAAATTATTGGTTTTATAATGTTAGAAACAAAATAGTTATCTCTACCAAATAAATACAGCAAACTCTACACAATTAATGGCAACACAAGGCAAAAGATGTATTTCAGTGCAATATGTTCTTGGAGTGCATCACTACTTTGGTTTCCACCTGAGCCACTGCCTGCTATCATACTCCTTGTACGTCATGAGCTTTATACAGATTACATTAAGCTCCCATTTAATCAAGTGTAACTCTTTTCACTAAGTACCAACTTTTTTCCAACCTTAAACCACATGCATCAGGATTTGTGTGTGTGTATGTGTGTGAGAGAGAGTTGTGGGTTGTTTCTGATACCAGTCAGAACACCAATATATTATGGGTTGTGATGAGGGGTAAAATTCTGGTTAAGGTCAAACATTCCCAATATGAATTCCACTTTCTGACTAGGTAAACACATTTTAATCTACCAGAACGTTGGTGAACCATTTGCATTATATGACAGCTACTATATATTTTTAATAAACACCTCTGTTAGCCATTTCAAATGAAATTTATTTTAACTATTTTTAATTATATATGTTGAATGTTCATTTATGTCTTAGTTTTACTGTCTAATTTGTTTATTGGTGTCTAGTTCCCATTACAATATTTAGTTTTTTTCATTATAAGTTTACTATTGTTATTGTGCATTATTCTGTATTATTTCTGATGTTGTTTGTACTTTGTGAGGCATTGAATGTTTCCCTGTCTCTGTATGTAAACGGCCCTGAGGCCCTTTAAGGAGAGAGGGTGGTCAAGAAATAAAGTTGTTGTTGTTGTTATTATTATTTGTTCCAGATGGACCCACCTGCAGACTACAATGGTACACTGTGTTTCACTGTATCATGGTGCACCAAAGAAAAGTCTGAGATGCTGTTCGTCCCAATATATGAAAAGTGGCTTGAATCTGGAGAGACTATTTGGATCTGTTCAGGCAGTAGTCTCACAGATGCTATAGTTCTTGTTCCGTTTTGGTCCTGCAAACAATATTCTGATGGCTTGCCTGTCCTAAACTAATGTATGAAAACTATAGATTCTTTTTTAAAATGAGAAATGGAAAGCTTGCAGTCTCTATACTGCTCAATTTCCAGTAATTATGTACTAAGATTTTATAACTGAAGCCTCCAAAAAAGTTCCAGAACATTAGCTACAAAGCAATATCTTCCTAGCACATTTCATTAACATTTAAATGAACAAAATCTATCTGTGAATCCAATGTTCTCTTTTTAAAAACTCAATGTTCTCTACTTTTAGGTGTAGGTTATAATAGCAGTTCTCCAAAATAAAAAGGGGAAAGAAACCACTAAATCCCTCAAATGGTACAAAGGTGGTGTGTGTGCGTACACGTTTATATATACCGTATATCTATAGACTATATCTCCCTCTAAAGGTAATTCATTATTTGTTGTGTGCAGCATATATTATGGAAGATAATATAAATTCAGTAGTTATACAAGCCTGCTATAGATTCATTTCTTACATATATAAATCTAAAATAAATTACCTCTAGGGCAAACATTCTGTCCATCATACTTCTTGAAGAGGTTGCATCAGCCACAATATGAACTTCCAGACCTCTGCCTACCAGTTCTAGTGCTGTCTGTTGGATGCAGACATGGGTCTTGGGAAGAAAAAAATCCAACATGTACATTAACAGAAGATGTGAGACTATAGAACAATATGCAATAAAATACATTTAGTTTTCAAACTGCTTGCAAAATATATTATTTAAAACATGTTACTTTTCAAAGCAAGACAGGATAAATGTCCCTTATCTGAAATACTTGGGACCAACATTTGGATTTGGGATTTTGACATATTCATATGAGATAACCCAGAGACAGGGCCCAACCCAAAATTTAAAAAAATTGTTTAAGTTCCCTATACATCTTATACAAATAGACTAGAGGAAACTTTATATACAGTATTTTAAAAATAATGTTAGTGCATGAGGTTTGTATACATTGAATCATCAGAAATCAAAGGGGCCACTATCTCAGCCACCCACGTGGACCTTTTTGGAGCATTTTTATTTCAGAGTAAGGGATACTCAACCAGCATTTATCCTTTATGTCGATATTTCTATACTACTATATGAAGAGTTAAATATAATATAAATGAAGAACCTACTTCTACTCCAAATAAAACAACACTGCGGACTCCAGGGATTTCTGCTAGCGCAGCCTCGACTTCAGGCAATACCATCGAAAACTTTGTCTTGGGTAAGACAAGTTTAGCCCCAGTTAAGTCAATTTCTTGCACTGTGCTTCCAAGACCTTTGGGATACTGTTCTGTTACAATGACTGGGATTCCTAAAATCCTTGCTCCTTGAAGCTGTAATAAGAAAGAATCCACAGAGTAAAGAAACTATACATGTACGATATCAAATATTAAACATTGCAAAATAGAGAGCAGGTACTACAATAAATAAATAGATAGACCTACCAATCGTTGACCCACGCTGATTATATCTCCAAAATACTTGATAGCAGGTCTAAATCTTTCTTGCATATCACAACAGAAAAACACAGTGCTTGAGGGAGTGAGATTGCCCAGTGTGGTTAACTGGAAAAACAAAAGAAAGAAAATTAAAATTAAATATCCGAAATCAGTATAGCCAAAGTAAAGGTTTCACACTGAGTTGAATCTCAGATACACACTTCAGGTGAGACCAAAGGTGTGTATGCGTCCATACAGGGATTGTAGGTTTCCAATAAGACATCTGACTTTTTCTTTGAACAGCATATCCCCATTTCATACCACCAGCTCTGAAAATCCTGTTTCAAGAACAGACTGTTGTAGAAAGAACTGCTTTCAAGAAAGCGAAAACCCTCTCAAGTGTGAGTGGAACTGGTTACGCAGTTCTTTGGATCCCAGCCATTATCTTAAAGAAAAGCTCTTGGACACGGTTCCCAGTCTTTCAAGCCTGATGTACAGCCTAAACATATATCAAGGTTTAACTACAGGCAACAGGTTCGTACACAATTTACAAACATAATAACATTAAACCCACAACTCTTATACTGTATTGTCATGGAAAAGGCACACTGAAGTTGTTGTACTTGGCAATTTAAAAGCACAAATTCAAAAGTAAGAAGAAAATAAGAACTGTCATTCTATCTAGCTTCAGGTTGAAGACAGAGGCAACCTTCTTAAATGGACTCACAGTAGGCTCTTTATCCATGGTAGATATCAATGTTTTAATTTGCATACACGTTTGCAAGCTGGATGTTGGTTCCCCAAAGGACTTCCCTTTACTAAGAAGGTGAATAATTCACCCTTTATGCACCACACACACACACACACACACACACAAACATATATTTCGTACACATACAGTCTTCACTGTAACAAAGAAAACGAATTCATAAATATGGCCACCTTTTAAAGTACACAACTATTTCAAGGCAGGAAAGCGGAGACGGTATGTTGGTAAAGTTTGCTGATAGTAGGTAAACCTTTACCTCAGTTGGCTTCTCCCTGGATACCCACAGGTACAAAATCCAGACAGAACAAACAAATGGCTAGAGACACGACTTGCAATCCCCGTAAAACATGTATGCTCATATTTAGCCGTATTAGTTTCACGCTGATCGTGGAACTTGTTCTGAGCCAAGAATAGTGGAAAGGAATTACCTACAATAAGCTAAACCCAACTTCTGATAAAGGAAATGTGAAATTATCACTGTTGTCATTAAGCCCCTTTCCACACAGCTGTATGACTGTGTGGAAGGGAACATAGGAATCAATATTTAAAAAGACTGAAGATCATAAGTGCAGAGTATTAATTTTATGTTTAGTCATTAATTAGCAGAGACACCAGTAGATGCCTGGGCCGAGGATTTCAGAGTTTATGCAAATACTCATTTATGGTAATCGAGGGCCTTTGACACAGCCATATAACCCAGAACATCAAGGCAGATAAATCATAATATCTGCTTTGTACTGGCTTATCTGCATCCACACTGCCATATGACTCAGTTCAAAGCAGAAAAAATAAAATTATTATAATGTCGGATTTTATACAGCTATGTGGAGGAGGCCCTAGTATTTGCCAAAACACTGTATAAGAAAGTTTTCCCTGAAGTGTATTAATCATTCAACCAATGATTTCCACCACTTCAGGACATTTACAGAAAATGCTTTTGTATATAAATATAAAACTTCATGAAAACAACACTTTCAGTAGATTCCAAGGACATTAAATAGCTTAGAATCTAAAATTTACATCTTCAGCTTTAGCAATCCAATGTTCTTGTTTTTCAGATTTTATTGTTCAGTTTATGTGCTTTTATGTGATACTTCTTAATAATAAATATTGTCTGTAAAGAGTTTGGATCCAAAGCACTACATGCAGACTGAAACATTTCACTTTTCCCCTCTTTCAGCAGCAGACCATTGTTCTCTCCTTGGAAGATCCCAGAAGATTCAGCACAAGAAGCTTGCACTAAACCAAAAATTATTTACGTTGGCAACACTGCAAATGCATACACACCATACATAAATAACAGTGATTTGTGCATTTGCATGCCTCAAGATAGCATCTCATATGTTAACCAGTCATCGAAGACCTGATGAACTCAATGGACCTTGCTTCTGAACATGTTCGTATGACTACAGTTGAGCATGCTTTTAGATGCAGGCACTCCTCAAGTTACGAACATCCGACTTATGAACAACTCATAAATACGAACGGGGCGGAGGTGGCCAGCCAAGGAGTGGTGGAGCTAACTGTTCTTCCCCAGCCAAAGTGAGGGAGGATGCCGAAGGAAGCTGGCAACAGGCTGGCAGCTGGTTTAGCTGTTGAATCTCTTCCTGAACTCCAAACCACGAACAGAGTTGCACTCACCCAAGAGGGCTGTCCTACATTCTCTTAAGATGATCTACCAGAACAGAACGCGATACTGCAGACTGCAGAAAATAAAGAGACCTGATCACATTTTTCTCTATTGTGTGAGCAACAACTCTGGAGTCATTCCATGCTTGTGGTAAACAAAGCATAATTTCGTCTGACAGATCAAAGTCTAAGCAGAAGCTTACTCAGCATAATTTAACCTTTAACACTCAGGGCCTTTCCACACAGCCATATAACCCAGAATATCAAGGCAGAAAATCCCACAATATCTGCTTTGAACTGGGTTATCTGAGTCCACACTGCCATATATTCCAGTTCAATGCAGATAATGTGGGATTTTCTGATTTGATATTCTGGCTGTGTGGAAGGGCCTTCAGTGCAAGAAAGCAGCATTTGGGGCACAGTCTCTTACAGCTATGTGATTTGTTCAATCAGAATGTATGTACACATGTATAAATCAACCACATGTTTAAGTCGAGGAAATGTTTGGGAGCCAAGATTGTGGATTTTGATATGGACTGTGGATAAATTTAGGATTACTCCACGGAGAGGAGAAAGCATCTACGGAGCCTCAGTGGGCCACTACCATTTTCCCTCCCAGGCATTCAAATTGGCCGAAAGCACTTCTGTGCCTGAGAGAATAGAAAGGCGGGTGCATCTTTCAGGTTCTCCCAGGATGGACTAAGCTTTTACCTTTCGCCACTCTTTTCTGAGAAGTGGATAGCTCCTTTCTGATAAGAGTTAATGTACAGGCCCTTCCACACAGTCCTCTATCCCAGAATATCCAGGCAGAAAATCCCACATTATCTGAGTGTGGACTCAAGGCCCTTCTACACATTCCTATATCCCAGAAGAGGTGAAGATAAAGGTTTTCCCCTGACATTAAGTCCAGTCGTGTCAGACTCTGGGGTGTGGTGCTCATCTCCATTTCTAAGCCGAAGAGCCAGCATTGTCCATAGACACCTCCAAGGTCATATGGCCGGCATGACTGCATGGAACGCCACTACCTTCCCGCTGGAGCGGTACTTATTTATCTACTCACGTTTGCATGTTTTCAAACTGCTAGGCTGGCAGAAGCTGGGGCTAACAGCTGGATGTCATGCCACTCCTCAGATTCAAACCTGCGATCCTTTGGTTAGCAAGTTCAGCAGCTCAGTGGTTTAACCCACTGCACCACCGGGGGCTCCTTGATATCCCAGAATATCAAGGCAGAAAATCCCACATTATCTGAGTGTGGTCTCAAGGCCCTTCCACACATTCCTATATCCCAGAATATTAAAGCAGAAAATCCCGCAATATCTGCTTTGAACTGGGTTATCTGAGTCCACACTCAGATAATGTGGGATTTTCTGCCTTGAAATTCTGGGATATAGAGCTGTGTGGAAGGGCCCTCACATTGACCCATGGATACATATTGTTTTTAGTGTTAGCTGCTTTGAGCATCTTTTTTGAGAAATAATACATCATAGAAATATGGCCTAACTCTGGATACAGTTAGTGTCTCAGTCTACTCTAGAACTTGAGTTTGCTGAGTAAGGGCCCTTCCACACAGCCCTATATCCCAGAATACGAAGGCAGAAAATCCCACATTATCTGAGTGGACTCAAGATATCCCAGAATTTCAGAGCAAATATTGTGGGATTTCCTGCCATGACATTCTGGGATACAGAGCTGTGTGGAAGGGCCCTAAACTTCACTGATCTCAATGGAACTAACATTTAAGCAGACACAGGCTGAGCAGCTCTTTAAAAGAGCAGGAAGAACCCATCTTTCATAATTCCCTTTGTATACATCAATTCTGCCTTCCTTGAGAAAAACCAAGGGTTTGGGGAAGCATGCTACCACTTTCTTCTCAGAAGGAATTTTAAATGAAAGACATTTCCAGTTTCCAGCTGGGATTAAACGAGAATACCTTGTCCTTGATAAAATAAATAAACAACAGGAATAAGTAGAATATTTTTAGAAGAGTCTGAAATCTGTACCAATTTCCTAGCTTTGGTGATAGGGAGATAGTAAAAGTAAAGGTAAAGGTTTCCCCTTGACACTAAGTCTAGCCATGTCCATCTCTGGGGGGTGGTGCTTATCTCTATTTTTAAGCCGAAGAGCTGGCGTTGTCCGTAAACACCTCCAAGGCCATGTGGTCAGCAGCTGAGTCGGAAAAAGAAAGGGCCTGAGGCTGTTTGGAATTGTGGGAGTGGACGCCCAAAACTGGAGGGCCAAAATTTTCCCATGGCTGGTGTAGATCCACCCCTGGATAGGATTTCCGGTTTTTGCCCACATCAACACCTAGGGCTGAATGCTCTTAGAGTAGGCAAGCACAACATGTGGCCCTCCAGGTGGTTTGGGCCTCCAATCCCCAGAAGCCTTGACCAGTTTGTCCAATGGTCGGGAATTCTGGACACTGAAGTCCCAAACACCGGGAGAACCTTAGGGTCTCTTCGAACTATGACTACACACAGATTCGAACCTGTGACCTTTCGGACAGCGAGTTCAGCAGCTCAGTGCTTGAACCCAGAATACCACCGGGAGCGCATATATTTTATTTTATTTTGCTGTATTGTATCCTTGCGCTTGGCCGCATGTTAGCTGCCCCGAGTCCCCTTTGGGGAGATGGTGGTGGGGTATTATTATTATTATCCAGTTCAGAGCAGATAATCTGGATTATATGGCTGCGTTGAAGGGGTCCCAGGTTCTGAATCCAGAGAATCTGTTTTGAAGTGGACTATAGTAGGCAGTTAGGCCAGGCATGGGCAAACTTGGGCCCTCAAGGTGTTTTGGACTGCAACTCCCACAATTCTTCTGCTAGAATGTTTTGATGTTTTTACCATCCTTGTGGGAGGCTTCTCTCATGTCCCCGCATGAGGAGCTGGAGCTGATAGAGGGAGCTCATCCACGTTCTCCCCGGATTCGAACCTGCAACCTATCGGTCTTCAGTCCTGCCAGCACAGGGGTTTAACCCACTGCGCCACCGGGGGCTCCTTATGTAATATTACAAATATTACAGTACAATGATGTCTATATAAATAAAAATGTAATGTTCGTTTGTGGGATTAACAGAACTCAAAAACCACTGGACGAATTGACACCAAATTTGGACACAAGACATCTAACAACCCAATGTATGTCCTTCACTCAAAAAAATTGATTTTGTCATTTGGGTTGTAGTTGCTGGGATTTATAGTTCGCCCACAATCAAAGAGCATTCTGAACCCCACCAACGAAGGAACTGAACCAATCTTGGCACACAGTACTCCCCTGACCAACAGAAAATACTGGGTTTGGTGGGCAGTGTCCTTTAGTTTTGGAGTTGTAGTTCACCTACACCCAGAGATCACTGTGGACTCAAACAATGATGGATCCGGACCAAACTCTACACGAATACTCAAAATGCCCAGATGTGAACACTGGTGGAGTTTGGGGAAAATAGAATCTTGACATTTGGGGGTTGTAGTTGCTGGGAATTATAGTTCACCTACAATTCACAGAGCATTCTGAACCACACCAACGATAGAATTGGGCCAAACTTCCCATGCAGAACCCCCAACGTGTGGCAGGGGATGGCTAGTAGTACAACATAGTAATATATAATACAAATATTGCGATATGCTGATAATATAAAATATTGTATGTGCATATAACTTGTAAGCCACTCTGACTCCCCTTTGGAGTGAGAAGGGCGGCATGTAAATGTTGTAAATCAACAAATAATCCAGTTCAGAGCAGATAATCTGGATTTTACAGGGCCCTGAAACTGCCCTGATTCTACTGTGTAGAGAGCCCACAAATCCTCTGCTAGGAATTGTGAGAGCTGCAGTCCACAACACCTCGAGGGCCCAAGTTTGCCCATTCCTGGTGTAGACTGATATGATCCAGTTCAGGGCCCTGAAGCTACCCTGGTTCCAGAGTGCAGAGGGCGCCTTGAGGGGAGCGGGGCTTCTTCCCTCCCTGCTTCCTGGCTCTCCCTCCCTTGCTCTGGCTTGACGGGCACCCACCTGTATCTGGAGGGGGACGAGGCGCACCTTGCACCGCTCGGCCACCACGAAGCCCTTGGGCAGGTCGACGTACTGGCTCCACTCCTCGGCGAAGAGCTGCACCACGAACTTGCGGTGCATGTCCAGCTGGTCGCCGTAGAGGCTCAGGAACTTCTGGATCAGCGCCTCGTAGCCCGACCCGCGCGGCACCGACGAGGGCCGCGCGAAGACCGAGAAGCAGAACAGCACCGGCACCGAGACCCCCGGCAAGAGAGGCGCCGACCCTGCCGAAGAGGAAGCAGGGCCAGGAGGGCAGGCTTCGGCCAGGAGCTGCTGCTGCTCCGCCGCCGCCGCCGCCGCCATGTTCGCGGGCAGGCGCTCCAGTTCCGCGCCGCCGCTGGTGCAGCTCCGCCTCCTGGTGCTGTTGCTGCCGCCAGGCAGGCTTCCTCCGGGCGGAGGCTCCCAATCGCGGCTCCTGCTCCTCCTCCTCACCATGGAAGCCAGCTTCAGCCAAGAGGGGAAGAAGAAGAAGAAGAAGCCTCCTCAGTCAGCCCTGCCCTGCCTCTGCTTTCCTCGCCTCTCCTCTCCCTCGTCTGCTCTGGGCAAGGACGGCGCCTCTGGCGGGTCGCAGCAACATGTGCCTCCTCCTCTTCCTCCTCTTCTTCTTCCTCCTCCTCTTCACCTGGAGGATGATGCCATTCCCCTCCTCTAGCCGGGCATCTCAAAACCATCCTTTTTGTTCCCTACCCGCCTCTTATGACACAACTAGAAATGCATCATCCTTATATAAAACGCACCTAGACAAAATACAGGCAGGCGCACCCAGAGTTACAAACATCCAGCTTGCAAAGATCTCACAGGGTTGCTGCGAGTTTTCCGGACTGTATGGCTATATTCCAGAAGCATTCCCTCCTGATGTTTCACCCATAAGGCATATCCAGAGGTTGTGAGGTCTATGGGAAATTAGGCAAGTGGGGTTTATCTATCTGTGGAATAATGTCCAGAGTGGGAGAAAGGACTCTTGTCTGCTGGAGGGGGCTCATGGTGGTCTGCGAGAAGGCCTTACTAGTACATTATTTAAACTGTTATGTTTATTCATAGCAGGATCTGATGACCATGCTCAATATATCCCATATGCATGGGGGTATTGGGGTAACGATACAAAACGTTTGCTAGGGTAGACCCTCTTTCACTCAGACTCAGCCCCCCCCCCCCCCCAACCAAACTCAGCCCTCCCACCCTCCGAAACAAAATCCTGGCTACGGGCCTGGCTGGAGGCAAGTGTGAATGTTGCAGTTGGCTACCTTGATTAAATACTTCATCACACTAGAGCAGGGGTCCACAAACTTTTTTAACAGAGGGCCAGGTCATAGTCCCTCAAACTATTGGAGGGCCAGACTATAATTTGAAAAAAATGAATGAATTCTTATGCAGAGTACACGTATCTTATTTGTAGTGCAAAAAACACTTTAGAACAATACAATAATTAAAATGAAGAACAATTTTAACAAATATAAACTTATTAGTATTTCATTGGGAAGTGTGGCCCTGCTTTTGGCTGATGAGATATGATTGTTGTTGTTGTTGTTGTTGTTGTGTGCTTTCAAGTCTTTCAGACTTAGGTTGACCCTGAGCAAGGGCTGGACCGTAGTTTGAGGACCCCTGCACTAGAGAATGAATTCACTTTAACAGCCTCACTAAACTACAAACCCCAGAATTCAGGTAAAGATTTCCCCCTGACATTAAGTCCAGTCATGTCCGACTCATCTCCATTAATAGGTAAAGGTAAAGATTTTCCCCTGACATTAAGTCCAGTCGTGTCCGACTCTGGGGTGTGGTGCTCATCTCCATTTCTAAGCCAAAGAGCCAGCATTGTCCATAGACACCTCCAAGGTCATGTGGCCAGCATGACTGCATGGAGCACTGTTACTTTCCCGCTGGAGCGGTACCTATTGATTTACTCACATTTGCATGTTACCGAACTGCTAGGTTGGCAGAAGCTGTTTGTGTATATTTGTTTATGTAAATTTACATTGTTATTGTTTATATATGCTCATGTATTTTATTGTATTGTGTATTTTGTTGCGCTCCTATATGTTTTTGTAAGTTTCCCCAAGTCCCTTTTGGGAGATTGTTGCAGGATATAAATAAATAAATAAATAAATAAATTATTAATAATAATTATTATTATTATTATTATTTTAAACGCAAGATGAGTTGTAGGTTTTCCGGACTGTGTGGCCATGTTCTACAAGCATTCTCTCCTGAGGTTTCACCTGTATCTATGGCAGGCATCCTCAGAGGTTGTGAGATCTGTTGGAATCTAGGAAAACTGGGTTTATATATCTGTGGAAAGTCCAGGGTGGGAGAAAGAAGTCTTGTCTGTTGCAACTAGGTGTGAATGTTTCAAACTGGCCACCTTGATTAACATTTGATGGCCTGGCAGTTTTTAGGTGTGCCTTGTTACTGCCTGGGGGAATTTTTTGTTGAACAACAAGATGAGACCATAGCAAACAAGATCACTCTGCTGGCGGTTGTATTGGATCACCTCAGACACTTCCCAAGTCTCTAGGACTGTGTGATGTATCGGCACCCCACATTCGGGCCCCATTTAATGCAATTTCTAACTGGTATAGAAGAAAGTGGTTTCTCCATGCAAATGATTACAAAGAAAACCCTGGGACCAGTTTGAGACCTGGATGGTAATGACACAAAGCACACAGTATTGATTGTGTTAAGGGCTTTCCCGTGCACACTTTTGTGGAAGTTTGTTCTTAGAGTGCCTCTGTTTGAAGCGAGCTTTGAACTGCAGTAACTAGTCAGTGTTGACTTCATTTTATATGAAATACACTTTAATGTTGTTGTTTATTTGTTCAGTCGCTTCCAACTCTTCATGACCTCATTGACCAGGCCATGCCAGAGCTCCCTGTCAGCCGTCGCCACCCCCAGCTCCATCGAAGTCAAGCCAATCACTTCAAGGATACCATCTTGCCCTTGGTTGGTCCCTCTTCCATTTTTCTTCCATTTCCCCCATCATCATTATCTTCTCCAAGCTTTCCTGTCTTCTCATGTGACCAAAGTACTTCATCTTTGCCTCTAATATCCTTCCCTCCAGTGAGCAGTCGGGCTTTATTTCCTGGAGTATGGACTGGTTTGATCTTCTCATGATCAAAGGCACTCTCAGAATTTTTCATCAATACCACGCTCGGCCTTCCTTATGGTCCAGCCCTTGCATCCATAGGAATACCATTGCTGTAATAGCACTTGAGTATCCACACCAGGGATGAGGGGAGTTCATAGAATTGTAGGGTTGGAAGAGACAACAAGGGCCATCCAGTCCTTTCTGACATGCAGGAACACACAATCAAATCACTCCTAACAGATGGCTATCCAGCTTCAGCTTAAAAACCACCCCACGCTGAGGTGACATACAGTATTCCCCCTGCCAAACAGCTCTTACCATCAGGTCCTAGAACCAAAGCCCAGTGGATACCAAGAGCCCACTGCATACATAGCTAATAGTAACTATGGTGTTTATCTGAAGGCTAAGTAAATACATGTAAATTAAAGATTCAGTGCTATCATGATTTCCATTTTGAATTCCAATTTTGTAAATGGGGTTTGAAGCACAGAATTGCAAACCACACTTAAAGTCTCGTGCGATTATGCAACCCTTCTCTATTATTGGAATCTTGACTCCTATTAAGGGTCTAGTGTTCTCATCTGCTGTTTTCCTCACAGAGCAACTATTCATATTTTTGTTCCATTCAGTTTCATTCATCTGCCCCAGAGATAGGTTTCCACTGGTTTGCCCTTAATGGAATAATGTTAGACAGATTGACATTAACAAATAACAGGTTTTCCATTCTGTTGAAATTGGTTTCCAGTTCCTTTTTTAACCAACATGTGGACAAAGTGCTTGAATAACAACATAAATCAGCATATTTCCAAAATAATTTTCGGTATTCTGCAAATTGTGCATGCCTGTCACCAGAAGACTGTCCTGTACTGGATGTCCCCAGCATTATCTGTGGCTCGAAGCTTTCTTAAAGTACAGAGTGGCCCAAAACTCACATATAATATACTGTATATGATGCCATGGTATCTGTACATTTTTTTTCTCCTTGGTGCCCCAAGGCCAACACATATGGCCAACCAGGGGCATGTTTCTTTCCAGATGAATTACTTGGTAGCTCTTGTACGTTGTTTTCCAGAACATTCTTAAATAAGGTTTATATGTTTCGAGATAGATCATTATTTTGGTATATTTTTAAAGGCTCATTCAGAAGCAAGGCTGCTCTTTCAGGAGTAGGCTTTCCAAACACACCATCCTGGTGGAAGTTTGTTTCATATATATAATAGCAAATTGGCCTTTTCCACATAAATGCTTTCGGTTGCTCTATTTTTTTCGTGTCAAAAGCATTGCATTAATAAATATAAAAACTGATAAAATAGAGGGAGTACATGTGGCTAAATAAATGTTGACCACCAACGGGTAACAGTGACAACACACTGTCTGAAGCTTTAAACAATTCTTCCTCTGTGCATGTGGCAGGGCATTTTGGACATGTATACAGATACGGAGTTGTTTGTTCTGTTCCACAGTTGCACAAGGTGGAGGAGATAGTGCCATTTAGCCATGTTGTCTTTTGATCGGCCCACTCCACTTTTGTGTTTGTTCAGGGACTTCCAAGTTGCCCATTCTTGGTTTGCCTCTGGAGGCAGACCCTCATGGGGGCATCCATTTGGGATTTCCTGTTTTAGCTGCCCAGAGGGATGCTCTGCTGTTGATGGGGGAACATTAAGAGGGGTGGTGGTTTTCATGAAGCTTCCCTTGATTTGAGTCTACTGGGAAGAGGCTGATAGCCATGTAGTGGTGGCTTTCACTCTGTTCAACCTTATTTCTGTCACAGCAGCAACTTTCTGGCACACATGGGGGGGGGGCAATGCCAGCTAGCTTATAGAGTCTATCAACACATGTAGGTTTAAGACATCCTGTGATTATTCTGCATGTTTCGTTCAATGCTATATTCACCTGCTTCACATGGACAAACTTGTGCTGAACAAGGCAGGCATACTCAGCAGTTGAGTAAGGCAAGGCCAGGGCTGATGTTTTTATTAATGTGGGGTCTGCATCCTATGTGCTGCCAATAAGCTTCTGCAGGATGTTATTGCGTGCAGCTACTTTGTGCTTGGTGTTCATACAGTGTTTCCTAAATTGCGGTTGCTTCCACTATACCATAGCTCTTGTCAAAAGTATATTGCTGTGGTTTCAGAGAAGGCACAGGGTCACTATTAAGTGAGAAGTGAGATAGCAAAACACCCTACTCAGCCACTACATCATCACCACTTCTGTTGACCTCAACTCATCTAAACATGACCTGGAAGTGAAGCAGATGGATTTTTCAGCCTAATCTAATTTATAGAGCTACAATATGTTTTTGAACTTCTCAAAGGAAGCATGGGATGCCAGTAATTGTAAGATCAATATAAACAGGATTATAGGCCCTCAAGTGATACAGATGTACAATTCTCTGTTACAAATGCACAGTTTTAAATACAGAGATATATATGTAAGCTTGGCAGGAGCTATACTGAGCTGTGTTTTATGTCTCTACAATTTTATATGAGCTACACTTCCTTCTTTCAGCAGTTGCACATGAGTTAGTCTCACAAAACATCAGCTCTTCCTTGCGGCTTTTCTTTTTACATCATTCTTTTGTGCCAGATGTGCTGTTGCCATGCTGTTCATGCAAAGCAGAATTCTATGAATGCAGCCACTGCTTCCCAATGTTGTTGTGTGGGAAAATACTCATTTCAAAATGCAATAAATGTTCAGAGTTCTG